ACTATGGGGATTGTTGCAGAAATGCTGAAATTTGGAGGCGAAGCAGTGCGACATGCTGTGCTGGACATGTGCAATGCTATCATCAAGCCCGGGTCTCCGACTAACACGCAGTGGAAACACACAGTCATGAAAGTATTTTTCAAAGACGGGGGCCCCACGCGGCCATCCAATTATAGGCCGATTTGTACACTACCGGCTCTATACAAACTATTTGCTCGTCTTCTATACCAAAGGTTGGACATGTACCTGGGGCCTGAGCAATCGTGCGACCAAGCTGGATTTAGAAAAGGGTTTTCAACAATCGATCATAAATTCACTATGTCATGTATTCAAGAGAAGGCCGACGAATTTCAACAAACAGTATGGAATTGCGCACTGGACTTCAAGAAGGCGTTCGATACGGTTGAACACGGTTCTCTGTGGGAAGCGCTCCGTGGCCAGGGTGTTCCGGAACCGTATATTCAGCTGCTTCGCTCTCTGTGTGCGGATCAACGTGGGCGTGTGCGGACAGACGTGCTCAGCGACGAGTTCAATATACAACGTGGGACAAAGCAGGGCGATCCCTTATCTTCTTTGTTATTCAACGCTTTACTTGAACACTGTCTCTGGCCATGCAAAAAAGAGTGGTATAGAAAACGCTACGGCTTACGATTGGACCCGCTGAACAGCAAAATGTTCACAAATTTGCGTTTCGCAGATGACGTGCTCGCCGTGGCACCCACATTGCACCAAATCAAGCAGATGCTGTCCGACATCCAGAGATATACCGCCGACGTGGGCTTATCTTTACACCCTGGCAAGACAAAGATATTCACCAATGCGAGCAGGAAGTCTGGGAGACAAGCGGCGGGTTCGGTACGCGTAAATGGTTTGGAAAACGAGATTATTCCAAGGACATCAACTACCAAATATTTAGGGCGTCTCGTATCTTGCGACAAGCCTTTCGAATGTGAACTCAACAACAGAATCCGCAAAGCATGGGCAGCATATGGTTTACATAAGCAAGAACTGACCAGCCGATCATATCCTCTCAAGGATCGTATCCGGCTGCTTGACAGCACGGTGGCACCAACGCTACTGTATGGAAGCGAAGTGTGGCCTATGACCCGCGACGTGGAGCACCAAATCACATGTGTAAAACGGAGGATGCTCAGGCAAATGTTGGGAGCAAAGCGAAAACCAATTCAAACGGAAGGCGTGGAGAACGCTGATGTTGATTGTGCCGACGTGGGCAGCAACCCAGAGCTGGAGCAGGACTATGCATCATCGGGCGCTTCGGAAAGTACGCGTCTGGAGCCTTGGGCCGATTTCATTCGAAGAGCGACGAGGGCTACAGAGGAACACCTGCAGACAGCACGTATGGAGCCATGGGTACACCAGCAGAGACGACGCAAATGGCGATGGGCTTTTCGAGTGGCAAACATGGATGCGGACTGCTGGGCTTCGCAAGCGATGTACTGGGACCCGGCGTTGACTTCTATATCAGCGCGTCGTGCGACCGGCAGACCGAAGAGACGCTGGGATGACGACGCCCGCGAGTGCATCTACACGCAAGGTATTTACACCTCGTGGCAAATCTATGCATTATCACACGAGCCGTGGAATGAGTTAGAGGATGTGTTTGCGACGAGGTAGTTTCTGAGCCTGGTGTATTTACTCTTGCGTTTTCCCAAATCTGTTAATGCAGCGACAACCCAGTAGTCTCTCCCAGTGCGGGGGACCGCGTGTCCCATGCGCCTGCCCTCTTAGAGGACCGCCCCCAAGGGGCTGGAGTGCGGGCCTGTCTGTCTGTCTGTCTGTCTGTCGAGTCCGTCGCAATGCAGCCGCGCCAGCGGAAGGTGGCATCGAGGTGAAGGGCGCGACAGAGCCGCCAACCCACTGGCGTCAACCGACCGCCGCGTCCGCGATGGCAACCACATGTACAAGACGCCCGCGCGCCTGGTGGAAGGAAGCACGGGGCAGGGGCGAAGACAGCCGCCAGTTCATCAAGAGGACGCAAAATGAGCTCGGTGCCACTTGTAACGAGGTCTGGCGCCGCTGGGCAGAGAAGTCTGAAACTCGCTCGGGTTTCGCCCCCAAGTGCCCGCCAGTGCAGAACTGGCGTACCTGCGACGGAGTCCTGGGCGCCTTGCGCCGCTGCAATTACGACGCCTACGAGCTCAATCGCCACTTGGTGCTCAAAGCCAGCGTGGGGTACGCGCGGCAAGAGCGCGTGGGGGGGATCGGGGCGACGCCGCGCGACCGTGCAAGGGCCGTGACCGCGACGCCTCCGACGCGCGCAGTGGCAAACAGGGGAAGCGCAGCTACGATTGGGACGGACCCCTGCCAGAGAAGAGACATCGAAAGTAGGCTCCCTCCTGCGCACTCGACCGCGCAGCCCAGCACTCCTCTTCACGCGGCACGTCCTGCCGCAAGGGCTTCTGGCCGCTTCTCCGCTCGTCTAGCCGCGCGTCTCTCCTTCTTCCTGTTGCTCCTCCCTGTCTCCTGGCTTGTTTCCTGGGGTATTCCTCTCGTGCTTTTGCAGTGATCAGCTGCCGCGCCCTCTTTTCCTGCCTCTTCCTGCCGCATCCCGCTTTCCTGCCTCGTCGCCTGGGGATCGCCTGCGCTCGCTTTCACTATCATCCATGTTCGTGCAGCGATCAGCTGCTCTTGGGGTGCGCCATCGCTTTGCATTCTGCTCTCCGTATATTCGCAGCGATCAGCTGCCGCTCCTCAACGCCCATTGTTCCCTGTGTTTGCGGCGATCAGCCGACTTATTGCCTCCATCGTCCTAGGGGTGCAGTCTGGCAGTTGCCTCTCGAGGTTCTGCCTTGCGCTGGCGCCTGGGCTGGCGCCTACTACTGCGGCCCCCCCCGCTTCCCGCGGCTGGGGTTGCGGGCGCCCGCCCTGCTGCCGCTCGGGGCGGCGGCCAATCGGGGGCTCCTGTCCCCGGTGCGTCGCCCCCAGGCTGGCTGTTTCGCGGGCCGCTGCAGCTGCCGCCGGGCCTGGGCTGCGGGCGGCTGGCGCGCTGCAGCTGCGCGCGCGGCGGCGTGTCCCCGTTCCTCGTCGACGTGATGGCCGCGAGGATTCATGGCGACGGTGTTCGGCGTGGACGAGCTGCCGGCCGTGCCCGGGGCCCTCCCCGTCCGCTGAAGGCGCTGGTGACGCTCGTTGCGGGCTGCTGGCCGCTGCCGGCCGCTGCCGGCCGCCCGCCGCGCCCTGCGCGGGGTGCCCGATGTGGTGGCGCTTCGCGCCCTCCTGCGCGGCTTCGCCGCGCCGGTCGCTGCAGCTGTCTCCAGGTCTCGGCGCGCGGGGCGCCCTGATGGCCCGCTTGTGTCCCGGAGCGGCCGTGGCCCGACCGTCCTCCGCCTCTTCCTTGCGGTGCTCGCCTCCTGCGCGTCGGCGTGCCTCGGCGCGTTCCACGCGGTGCCTGGGGGCCGTTTGCCTCCACGGCTGCGTCGCCTCGCCGCTCCTGCCCGTTGCGGGGGCGCTTTCGCTGCCCCTTCTGGCCCGCGTTCCTTGTGTAGGCCTACTTGGTCGTGTGCCATGGTACCTGGGGAAACGTTGGCCCGCATCTCTCTGTCCCCGGTCGTCGCCGCCTTGGGTTACTTGGCGCCCGACTTCCAGTCGCTTCGGTCTTGGGCGTTCTCTCGCTCATCATCCGCACCAGCGTTCTCATCGGCATCCTTGTGGGCGTGTTCGCGGTGCCTGTGAGGTGCCTCCCGAGCCATTTTGGCTGCGATTCGCTCTGCTCCACTCTGTGGCGGCGGTGTTGTCTCGCTGGTTTTTCCCTCTCCACGGCGTGGCCCGCCCTGGCGTGCTCGGCGTTCGACTGTCTTCGCGCGCCAGCGCACCAACACAACTATCCCCACCATCCCATCTAGAAGCGATGCCCATGGTAGTTGGCATGGAGAGAGAAAGAGAGAAAGATAGAGAGAGAGAGAGAGAGAGAGAGCGGAAGAGACACACATAGTTAAACAGCAAGGGAGGTTTGGGGGGCCCCGTGGCTATCTCGAACCGTCTTGGAGTGGTCTTGGGGCCGTTTGGAGCATCTTGGGAGCCATCTTGAACCAGCGTGGGCTATCTGAGTCATTTCGGGCTCTTTCAGGCCGCTCGGGGGCCTCTTGGGTGCCTGTCGGGTGCCTTTTGGAGCTCTCTTGGGGCCTTTTGGGGCGCTTTTTGGACCCTCTTGGGATCCTCCCGGGGTCCCTGGAGCGCCTCTTGGGGACATTGTGGAGGCGGTCGGTCAAAAGAGTGGGGGTGCTAGATTTGCGTCTCCCCCCTCGGGGGCCGCGATCCTCGTGAGGGGGTGGCAGAAGATGGGCCTCCCAGGGGCCGAAAAAGGAGCCTCCGACACATCCCGACCCCCCCCAAAAAAAACAGGGAGTGGAGGGGGAGGGTTCCCTTCCCCGAAGGGAAGAGGGGTTATGGAAGAGGAAGAAGGTTCTTCTCAGACCACCTGTCGCCCAAATGGTTGGTCGGATTTACGATTTCGTTTTTGATGGTCCAGGTTTTTGGGACATTTGATTTTTTTTTGCATTCTTACGGTGGTGTTGCTTCGAAGCGCGTTCAAGGAACCACCGTTTCCATTCCAATTTCTCTATGCGCCCATTTCCCGTTTTGTTTCGTCAGTTCTCCTGCTCTCTTTCATGCACAGCGCGGTCTGGTGGTCGCGCGGAAACGCGGAATATTTTTCGTGCGCTTCCATGGGCAACGATCCGCCAATCCAGTCTTCTTGGCCTGGGGTGGATATGTGCGGCCCGCGGTCGGGATGCGTGGAGGGATAGCCAAATGCGATACAGTGGCGGGGTGGGATGGGGAAGAGGGCGGGAAAAGGGAGGGAAAGAGGGAAAGGGGCGGGAAGGAAAGGGGTGTGTGGACGGGAAGAGGAGGCAGGAAGGAGAGGGGGGAGGAGGTGTTGAACGACGGACGAGTTGGAGGGAAGTGTCAAGTGTGTGGGGAGACGCCGGACAGGACGGGACGGGGAGAAACTGGGCGCGTGGGCGGATGGACTCGTCGGCAGCGGGAGTCTTTTTTCGCCGCGCGGTGTGGGCGAAACCGTCTGCGAGGGAACGCCATGGCGTGTCTCCTTGGCCAAGACGTATCCCCAGAGGATGGCTCCCCCTGCCACGGATGACGCGCCCCGCGCCGTTGGCGTCAGTCCTCGGCCTTCGTCGTGTTCTCTAGAGGTCCTTGTCCTGAGGGCCTTCTCCTGCTCCTCGTGGTGCTCCTCCCCCTGGCCCTCCCTCCATCGCCAATTCCCCATCCTCCTTCCTCCATCCCTCCCTCTGTTGTCCTCCCTGTTCCTCGTCGTCCTTCTTTCCAGTTGTTTCCTTATTCATTTTCTTATGTAGCGTTGCGCCACAAGCCGCGTCTGTAAGGTGGGCCTGGCAGTTCGTTAGAGACTCCCGTACAGCCCAGGCAGTTTAGATTCCCGCAGTTTCACATGGCCATCACTTGCGCGGATGGAGTCAGCACGTTCTCAGAGGCTGGGTTATAACTTGCTTCCAGATGTCAGGCTTTTGTGCACATGTGCGGATTGTAAGTGGCATATTCCATAATCGAGCATCCGCTGGATCAGTATTCACATGGCGTGGTCCTCAATGTCACATACATCGCCATACGTCGCACTGCCGACCCCTTGGAAACCCTGGATGCGTCTCTTCTGGGGGGCGTTGTCGTAGAAGCGTCTTTGCGCCGTGCGTCCATTTGAAGATTCCAGAGCCGTGTTCAAAATGGATTCTGTTGGTTTGTTTTTGGGCCCTCTTAAGAGGCCTCTCCAGGTCTTTTGAGGGCCTGTTGGGGGCGTCCTGGGGTCTTTTTGGGGCTCCCTTGGGAAATTCTGGGGCCATCTTGTGGGAGAGGGCTCCTGGGGCCCCTTCGAGTTTCCCGTTTTGGGTTCATCCTAGGGCCCTCATGGGGGTCTCTTGGACAGTCTTGGGGGCATTCTGGGCTATCTGGGGCCCCTCTTAGGTTGTTTTGGGGCCTCCTTGAGGATCTTTCGGGCCATCTTAGGGGCCTCTTGAAATGTTTTAGACGCCCTGAATATCGAACTTGATTTTTGTCTCTCCGCGCTTGGACCGTCTTGGGAACCTCTTGGATGGTGTTGAGTCCATCTTTCGGCTCTCTCAGAGTTGCCCTGGGCCGTCCTGGAGCACTTGTGGGCCGTTATGGGGCCTGCTTCAACAATTTTGGCGCGCCTTGGAGGGTTTCTGGGTCAGATCCGCGGCCGGACCGGTTGGATCCCCTCTTCAGCTGGTCTTTCCTCCTGGGGGAGGGCTGTGAGGAAGGGCACTTGTGTTGCGCGCCGAGGAAGCTCGAAGGAAGTCGCCGGACTGTCGTCCTGCTGCGTCAGTGCAGGGGGCGCTCTGCACGGATGCACGTTTCAGAATCGAAATGTCGTGTGAGACGTCGTCGCAGTTCACGATCCTGAACCACATGTTGCCTAGTTGCACCGAGTGTGGGTGATTCCTCAGAGTTCTTACCTGCAGAATGCTCACGGTGAGCGGTCAGCCTGAGGATGCCAAGCAGGCACACTTTTGTCAACGTCCCTCGCTGGGAGCACGCTGTAAGCACACTGCTTCGCGTGGGGGCCGAGTGCACGCATACAGGATGAACATTGAGCTGGTATCTACTTTGCAGCATTGAATCACGTGTGCATTTCGCGTAACCCCACCAGCCCATCCAGAAAGTGTCCCCAGGCAAGTTGCTTTGACCAGGGATGTGTATGAGCCTGCAGTGAAGCTAGGAGGATGGGGCAACCGCAAACCGACATTCGGGATCAGCCTGAGCAGACCCATGAGTCAATCATACAGGCCTTCGCGGCAGGTCTCTCGATGTGGGAGCCTCTCAGAGGTTTTTCGCCACTACCCTGGGGTGCTCTTGGAGCAATGTTGGGTGCCTTTCGGGGCTCTCTCGGGGCCGTCTTAGGGGCCCTCAGGGACCCCATACGGCAGGACATCGGTCAAACCAAGGGGGGCGGTACTGATCAGCCTCGCCCGGCTGGAGCCACATGCCTCAAATCATCGCCTCTTAAGGCTCTCCTGAAACGCTCTTTTGGCACCATTTTGGAGGCCTTCGGAGCTATCCAGGATATCTCATGGGGCCTCTCTTAGGGCTCCCTTGAGCCATTTTTTCTGAGGCCTCAGAAGTTCATCGGAAGCGAAAGGGCGTGAAGGCAGCATTCGTCGAACGAGACATAGTTTTCGAAGGATCTGGGCCGCTCGAGGGCATTCTCGGGGGCTTCGAGATCAGTTGTTGTCGTCTTGAGGTCGTCTTGGGGCCTCCTGGAGGTATGCTGAAGGCCATCTTGAGGCAACTTGGGTTATGCTATGTCATTTTGGGACCCACGTTGGACTGCCTGGGGCTATCTTGTAACTGCATTCGGCCATTTTTGAAGCGCTGACCGCTACCGAAATCCCGGTCCCGACCCCAGAGTAGGTGGTCAGGAGGCCTAGACGGGGAAGTATATGGTCGGAGTACCAATCGAAAATTCTGAACCACCTAACGCACAGAGGGCTGGTGGGAGTACAGGATCGTGAACAGATGCAACACAGGAAGGCGTCATTACGTAACGCAACGTTCCCAAGACATTGCTCGCACTTAGTGCCTTCTATCGGTTTTTCAGCTCCCAAGGCATCGCAGTCGGCCCTGGCTGGTCGGAATCTCCATTACTGGCGCCCTATGCGTTGGTGCCTTGTGGGGTGGGGGCCCGTTTGCCAAAGTCGGCCGCTCCCAGGCCGGTGCCCTACTGGTTTGTACCTTGTGTTGAGCTCCCTGTGGTGCCCTGTGGTGCTGTCTGCTTGGTGCCCTACGGCTGGTGCCCTAGGGCTGGTGCCGTATGGTACTCTACGACTGGTGGTACATGGTTGGTGCCTTGTGTTACCTTGTGCGAGGTCGAGCGCCTGGTGAGGAGGGGGAGGGGGCAGGGAGGATGGACGAGTGATGAAGGAAAGAGGACAGCGAAAGGCGGATGAGGAGGAAGATGATGATGATGATGATGATGATGATGATGATGATGATGAGGAGGAGGAGGAGGAGCACGCCGAGGTTGCATCCTTGCTTGTTTATTCCCCTCTCTCACGACGGTACTCATAATTGCACTCTAGCAGCTCGCATGTGCAGGTCGGTGGTCGAAATACGTCTGGCACAGCTCACAGGGCACCGCCCCCCTGCTCACACCGATCTGACCACGATGCAACAAACGGGTCCAGATTGAGTCTTTGAGTCAATGCCATCTGGTATGGGTTGGGGTTGCGCAGAGTCCCCCCCAGATTGTCCCGATGGCCCTTGGTGGTCCCTTCGAGTAGCCTGGGGCGGTTTCAACACCTCAACCGTGAGGTGCGGAGCGTCCCAGGGACGCCGCTGGAGGCCGCGCTGGGGTGTTGAGACCGCCGAGGGCTACTCGAAAGGCCCGTTGAGGATAGCGGGGGCTACCTAGGGGGGCTGTCTGCGTGCAGCCCCAGGCCTTCCCACGACCGTTCTCGACCGTTCTCGATGCGCCCTCTGGCATCCTTTTTCACCTCAGCGCCCCGCCTTCTACTGGGGGAAGTGGCAGTTGGAACCCCTCTGGAAAAAACGGCAGTTGGGAAGCAGAGGCCCGGCCAACCTTTGCCGACGTCGCCATCCCGCCGAGCAGGCCAGAGCACCCCTCGTCGTCGCGCTCCTCTGACCCCCGAGGAGCTGCAGCTTGCCGACCACGTCTACATGTGGGGCTCCCCCCTGCACACCCAGCACGGTGTCGTCGTCGAGCTCTCGGAGGCCGACGCGGCTGCTGCCCAGGGGGGCTCCCCCGTTCCAACGACGGGGCCCCTGACGAGCAACATCAGACCATTCCGACACTGTCGATTTACATCGATTCGATTTCGAGGATCGTGACGTTGATGATATTAGACTCCGAATTCGAACATCGGTTCGGATTTGCATTTCTAGGCCTCGATTCGGATCAGCAGAGGTCGACTTCGATGCCGCCGATCTGCCTGCTTCTGCCGACCTTTTGTAGTATTTAGACGAGTTGTAAACTTTACCTGTTCCATTTTGGTCTACCCTGTTCATCTCCTCCTCCGGTCTTTTCCTTTAGTTGGGCCTCCGAAGCCGCTGCGAGTAATGGTTCATGGTTCCCCCCCGACGTCTTGGGTTGAGCACCGCAGGGAGGTCTACGTTCTACGTGTGTTTACGCCAAGCAGGCCTGCTCATCTTGTCGTTCCCCACGACGATGAGGATGATAGTGACGGTGATACTTGTGCTAATGATGATGATGATGATGATGATGATGATGATGATGATGATGATGATGATGATGATGATGATGATGATGATGATGATGATGATGATGCTGATGATGATGATGATGATGATGATGATGCTGATGATTCTGATGAGGATGAGGATGAGGATGAGGATGAGGATGAGGATGAGGATGATGATGATGATGATGATGATGATGATGATGATGATGATGACGACTTTCTACTAGTACGTACAATGACGCAAGTACGCCTAGTAATTCGTGTTGAATAGCCTCGAACGTGAGCATTGCTCTTGTGTGCTAAACGAGTGGGACGTATCAGGCTGTCTCCTGTCGCGTATTGCTGCCGATGTCGCTCCACCTCCATCGCGATGTCGACGAATGGTAGCCCATAAGGGCACGTTGTAGTGCGCTGCGCTTCGCGAGGAGGGGTATTGCGCTGCGCTTCGCGATTGCGGGAAAGGCGAGTCATGCTCCCGTGAGCGCCGCCAGCCCCGACGGCGGCTGCACCCTGGGGTCCAGGCGCGTCCCTGTCTCCAGCCGGGGTTCGTCGCTCAAGACGAGCGGTCGCGCTCATGCAGATCCTCCCGGAGCTTCACATCACGTCGGGGGCGGTACACCACTCCATGCTAAATTCGGCAAGTTCACGCGCGTGTTTGCGCACGGCCTCGCGCCGCAGGGCCGTGGACGTGCTTGCTGTGTACGCACAGCGCTACGCGACACCGCGGTATGAGGCGTGCGAGTCCGATGATGGTGGAGATATCGTGAAGGCCTTGCGGCTGGTGCCGCCGACCCTGAAAGGGGAGCCAGAGGCGTCTGGGAGGCAAGGAATCGAGGGGGAACAATTCTCCCAGGGGGTGCTCCCCCTGGGGGGGTCACAACCCCTGGGCCCCCCCCTCCTACCCTCTCTGGGACTTTCCCAGGATCTTTTACGGGACCCCCCCGGGACCCCCCCCGGGGAAGGGATCAAAGGGAAGGAGCTTACCTCCGACTCGATTACGACGTTGCTCGATTTGTCTTTGGCTGGGACATTTGAAGAAGAGGGCCCATGGACGGACAGCGGGGGAGCGGTGAAGGCGACGACGACGACGACGAAAACGGAACAGCCTCTCACACAAGCTGGCAGGGTCGGCGGATTTGTATTCAATGCGAGTCACCGCTGTGATGACGATCACGATGGTCAGGACGCTGCCAATGACTCCTAGAATCTGGGCTGACATGACGAACACGACGATGATACTAACGAATCCGATGAAGGCGATGTTGCCGAGTGTGTGTGTGTGTGTGTGTGTGTGTGTGTGTGTGTGTGTGTGTGTGTGTGTGCGCGTGCGTGTGTGCGCGCGCGCGCGCGCGTGTGTGTGTGTGTGTGTGTGTGTGTGTGTGTGTGTGTGTGTGTGTGTGTGTGTGTGTTTGTTTGTTTGTTTGTTTGTTTGTTTGTTTGTTTGTTTGTTTGTTTGGTTGTGTGTGTGTGTGTGAACGACGCGCTGGCAGCGCTGGTGATGAGCATAGCCGTGAACAGAGCGAGTGCCTGCGTACACTTGGCGTTTCCGATTTCTTTTCAGACAGGTGGGGGGGAGCGGACCTCGGCCGTTTTTAGCCGTGGATGCGTGGAGGGTTCTGGCGCCAGCGGAGAAGCCGTCCGCTGTTGTCCGAAAGTGTATGCTCGTTTTTTGTTGCTCCGTATCCTCCCTCGCCTGTCCCTCCCACGGTCTCTGGAGGTCACCACGAGCCTCTGGAGGCTCTGGAAGCTTCTGGAGGCTCCTGGAGTGTCGAAAACGTCTTACAACCTCGATGCTCGATCCTTGAATCTGCTCCCTCTTCTCCTCCTTCGTCCCCCGCTCCCAGTGGTCGCGCACCCTGGTCATGATCCTCCTTGTCCACCGCCGCTGGAGGAGTGGAGGGAGAAGGAGGAGGAGGTGGATTGGGGGATGAGAAATCAGCAGAAGGAGGAGCAGGAGGCGGAGGAGGAGGATGAGGATGAGGATGAGTTGGAGGAGCAGGGGCAATGGTAGGGGGAGAATGGGAGGCGGGGAATGATAACATAAGGCGGGCCATATTTTTCTCACGGCAAATGATTATCCAGGAAACGTCAGGTACTTCTTATGGACTTGTGTATCCACGCGTCAACTTGCTGTCAATCTGTCCTGCCAGGGTAAGCGTGTAGACTTGAATGACAAATGCTCGACGGACTGAGCCTGGCGGTGGGAGCGAGGAGCGAAGACGGCGAGGGGGGGCAGACGGAAGGGGCGTCGGGACCTGGGAGAAACGGAGACCCAGACATCCGACAATGCCATCTGTTCAACCGACGGGCCGCGCTGGTCTCGACCCCTTCCCCGGGGACAGTTTCCCGTACGAGATCAGTTTTGATGGCCCCAGCGCCCGAAAATTGCATCCGATTGCCACATTGAGGAACCACGCGACGATAGAACGATAATGAATCCGCTGGCGGTATGGGCCGTGGGGGCACGGCGTGTGAAGACGCCAACTCGTCTGCCTGCCGCACATGTTCGGTCGAGTGTAGAGAGGGTGCGCGGGCGGGCTGACGCGGCGGGGAGGCCAAGCGGCCGTGGACGGGCCTGAGCTCGGAGCCGCCCCGTCGTCGTCTTCGTCGTCGTCGTCGTCGTCGTCGTGGTTGTTGTCTCCTCCCTTTCCTCCTCCTCCTCCGCCTCGTCCTCCCTCCTCCTCTTCGTCCTCCTCCTTTTCCTCCTCCTCCTCCTCTTCCTCCTCCTCCTCTTCCTCCCTCCTTCCCCCTCTCTCTTCTTCCCTCATCCTCCCTCCACCCCCTCCGCTTCTCCCTCCTCCCTCCTCCCTCTCCCGTCCCTCTTTCCTCCCTCCTCCTCCCTCCTCCTTTCCCTTTTCGTCCCCGTTGTCTCCTCCCTCCTCCTGCCTCCCTCCTCCCTCCTCCCTCCCCCCTTCCCCTTCCGTCCTCCATCGTCGCTCCCGTTTGATACTTCCTCATCTTTTACTCAAGACTGGGACTTGGAAGAGTCCCCGTCGAACCGTACTTATTGAATAACCATCAGATTCGGAACGCACAAATAATGTGGAGGAGGAGGAAAACAAAGAGGACGGATGACTTCCAGGGATTCCACGGGTCGAGGGTCGAAGGATTGACTTCGGGGATTCCTTGAGAATATGTGAAGGGGCAGGTGGAGGATGCGAGCATGGTAGCGGCAGCGCCCTGGGGGCGTGAACGTTCAGGGTCACGCGCCGAGGCCGCAGGATGTTGGCGTAACAGTTCGAACGAGGAGTAAAAACCACCTCGTCCCCGGAGGTACTGCTAGTACAACTCCTCCTCCTTCCCCCCTCCTCCTTCTCCTCCCTCATCCTCCTTCTCTCCCCGTTCCTCTTTCTCATGTTCCCTCCTTTCATCCTCTTCTCCCTCCTCCGAGACGCGGGGCGTGCGCAAGGCGATTGCGATGGCGATGTGCCGTCCGAGCTGTGGATGTCGAAGTTCCTCGGGAAAGGTAATGGCGATACTTTCTTGGGTGGGATAGCTGGGCGAGGGAATGTCGGGCCCCGCGTGCCAGGAACGCCCCCCCCGATGGGGTGTGGTATCCAGAAGGATGCGCGTGACACGTGAAAACATGGCGCATGATGGTAAACTGATCGTTATTGTTGATGATGTCGTCGTTGATGTAGTCGTCGTCGTCGTTTTTGTCGTCGTTGTCGTTGTTGTTGTTGTTGTTGTTGTTGTTGTTGGTGTTGTTGTTGTTGTTTTTGTCCCGGCTGTGGTTGTCGCTGGTGCTGCAGTTGTTGTCGTTGTTGCTGCTAGTGCTCTGGTTGACGTTGGCGTTTTTGTTATTGCTGTTATTGTTGCTACTGCTGCTGAGATTGTTGCTGCTGCTGCCTTTATTATTGTTGTTGTTGTTGATGCTGTTGTTGTTGTCGTTGTTGTTGTTGTTGTTGTTGTTGTTGTTGTTGTTGTTGTTTTATAGAGTTGTTGTTGTTGTTGTTGTTGTTGTTGTTGATGCTGCTGCTGTTGTTGTTGTTGGTGGTGTTGTTGACGCTGCTGCAGCTGATGTTGTGGCTGAAGTGGCTGGTGTTCTTATTGTTGTTGGTGTATTTAGTTGTTGGTGCCGTTGTTGCAGCTGATGCTATTCTTGTTGTTGTGGTTGTTGCTGGTTTTCGATGCTGCTGTTGTTGTGACAGTTTTTCTTATTGCTGTTGTTGTCGTTACTAGCGACGCTTGGTGGTGCCGGTATACACGGAACAATCGAATGCGATTACTCCGTGTATCCAATATACAGGTTCCATTCGAAATCCAAGTTGAATTTGCCTTGGATACACGGAGTAATCGAGTGCGATTACTCCGTGGATCCAATCTGCAGGTTTCAATGGGGGTCCAATCGTAATCTGACTCGGATACACGGAGTAACCGAGTTCGATGATTCCGTGTATTTGATACACGGAGTAGTCGAGTGCGATTTCCGTGTGTCCAATATTGAGGTTCCAATAGGAATCCGATTAGAATCTGCCTCGGATGCACGGAGTAATCGACTGCGATTACTCCGTGTATCCAATATGCATGTTCCAATATGAGTCCAACTTTAATCTGCCTCGGATACACGGAGTGATCGAGTCCGATTATTCCGTGTATCCAATATGCAGGTTCCTTTCGGAATCCAATTAGAATGTGGCTCGGTTACACGGAGTAGCCGAGTTTCATGATTCCGTGTGTCCGATACACGGAGTAATCGAGTGCGATTAATCCGTGTATCCAATATGCAGTTTCCAATAGGATTCCAAGCATAATCTGCTTCGGATACACGGACTCCAATAGAAATCCAATCAGAATCTGCTTCAGGGACACGGAGTAAACGAATTTGATTATTCCGTGTATCCGATACACGGAGTACCCGAGTGCGATTACTCTGTGTATCCACTATGCAGGTTTCATTCGGCATCCATTTAGAAGATGCCTCGGATATACGGAGTATTCGAGTGCGATCACTCCGTGTATCCACTATGCAGGTTCCACTAGGAATCCAATTAGAGTCTGCCTCGGATACACGGAGTAATCGAGTGCGATTATTCCGTGTACCCAATCTGCATGTTCCAATAGGAATGCACTTATAATCTGGCCCGGATACACGGCATACTTGAGTGCGGTTATTCCGTGTATCCATTATGCAGGTTCCAATAGGAATCCAATTCTAATCTGCCTCGGATACGCGGAGTAGTCGAGCTCGATTCTTCCGTGTTTCCTATATGCAGGTTCCAATCGGAATCCACTTAGAATCTGCCTCGGATACACGGAGTAAGTGAGTGCGATTACGCCGTGTATCCAATATGCAGGTTCCGGTAATAATCCAATTAAAATCCGCCTCGGATACACGGAGTAATCGAGTGCGGTTTTTCCGTGTATCCAATCTGCAGGTTCCAATCGGAATCTAACCATAATCTGCCTCGGATCCGAGTTCGATTACTCCGTGTATCCGATACACGGAGTAATCGAGTGCGAGTAGTCCGTGTTTCCAGAATGCAGGTTCCAATACGAATCCATTCAGAAAATGCCTCGGGTACACGGAGTCATCGAGTTCGATTTTTGTGTGTATCTAATATGCAGATCCAATAGGAATCCAATTCGAATCTGCCTAGGATACACGGAGTAATCGAGTGCGATTAATCCGTGTATCCAATATGCAGTTTCCAATAGGATTCCAAGCATAATCTGCTTCGGATACACGGAGTAATCGAGACGGACTGTGCCGTGTACCCGATACACGGAGTAATCGAGTGCGATTACTCCGTGTATCCAATCTGCAGGTTCCAATCGGAATCCAATCATAATCAGCCTCGGATACACGGAGTAATCGAGTGCGATTACTCCGTGTATCCAATATGCAAGGTCCAGTAGGAATCCAATCATAATCAGCCTCGGATACACGGAGTAATCGAGTGCGATTATTCCGTGTATCCAATATGCAGGTTTCAATCGGAATCCAAATCGAATCTGTCCCGGATACACGGAGTAGTCGAGTGCGATCACTCCGTGTATCCAATATGCAGGTTCCAATAGGAATCCAAATCGAATCTGCCTCGGATACACGGAGTAATTGAGTGCGATTATTCTGTGTATCCAATGTGCAGGTTCCAATAGGAATCCAATTCGAATTAGAATCTGCCTCGGATACACGGAATAACCGACTTTGATTATTTCGTGTATCCAATATGCAGGTTCCAGTAGGAATCCAATTAGAATCTGGCTCGGTTACACGGAGTAATCGAGTTCGACTATTCCGTGTATCCGATACAGGGAGTAATCGAGTGCGAATATTCTGTGTATCCAATATACAGTTTCCAATAGGAATCCAATTAGAATCTGGCTCGGTTACACGGAGTAATCGAGTTCGATGGGGCCGTGTATTCGATACACGGAGTAGTCGAGTGCGATTACTCCGTGTATCCAATATGCCGGTTCCAATAGGAATCCATTTAAAATCTGCTTCGGAGACACGGAGTAATCAAGTGCGATTTCTCCGTGTATCCAATATGCAGGTTCCAATAGGAATCCAATTCGAATCTGCCTCGGATACACGGACGGAGTAATCGAGTGCGATTGCTCCGTGTATCCAATATGCAGGTTCCAATAGGGAATTGGCCCGGACCCGGCTCCGGAATCGGCCCGGGAGGGCTCCCTCCTTTCCCCCCCCGGGCGCCGGAAGCAGAAATTCAGCATTTTCAAAGGGAGAATGTGTTTTGAAATAGCCTTTTTTTCGGCGCCGCCGCGGATCTCGATTTTCCAGCAACGGCCGGCACTACCCTGGAACCCGGCTTGGGACTCGGTTTGGGAGCCGGCCTGGGAGCTGGGACCCAAAACGCCAGGAATGCCGGGAATCGGCCCAGACCCAGGCCCGGAATCGGCCCAGGAGGCCCTCCGGGCGTCGGAGGCAGAAATTCAGCATCTTCAAAAAAGGAATGTGCATTGTAATGGCCTTTTTCTGGCGCCGCCGCAGTGCGATTATTCCATGTAACAATATGCAGGTTCCAATCGGAATCCAATCATAATCTGCCTCGGATACACGGAGTAATCGAGTTCGATGACTCCGTGTATCCGATACACGGAGTAATCGAGTGCAATTATTCCGTGTATCCAATATTCAGGTTCCAATAGGAATCCACTTAGAATCTGCCTCGGATACACGGAGTAATCGAGTGCGACTGCTCCGTGTATCCAATATGCAGGTTCCAATAGGAAACTAAGTAGAATCTGCCTCGGATACACGGAGTAATCGAGTGCGATTAATCCGTGTATCCAATATGCAGGTTCCAGTAGGAATCCAATTATAATCTGCCTCGGATGCAAGGAGTAATCGAGTGCGACTACTCCGTGATCCAATATGCAGGTTCCACTAGGGAATCGGCCCGGACCTGGCTCCGGAATCGGCCCGGGAGGGCTCCCTCCCCTCCCGGGCGCCAGAAACAGAAATTCAGCATTTTCAAAGAGAGAATGTGTTTTGAAATGTATTTTTTTTCGGTTCCGCCGCGGATCTCGATTTTCCAGCGCCGGCCGACACTACCCTGGAACCCGGCTTGGGACTCGGTTTTGGAGTTGGCCCGGGAGCTGGCTCGCTCGAGGCCT